AAAACCGAGCTTTTCATAGACATAAAGATTGGCAGTGCTCTGATAGACATGTACTCCAAATGTGGGAGAACCGATGATGCAAGATCCATTTTTGATTCCATGCCGAGAAAGAACGTCTATTCGTGGACTTCAATGGTTGATGGATACGGGAAAAACGGGTGTCCAAACGAATCGCTCGAACTCTTCGATAGAATGATAAGCGAACGTCACACTAAACCAAATTACGTTACTTTTCTCGGTGCACTCTCTGCATGTGCCCATGCAGGATTAGTTGCCAAAGGGAGGAAGATATTCGAGTGCATGGATTGGGTTTACTCGATGAAGCCAAGAATGGAGCACTACGCATGCATGGTAGATCTATTAGGGCGTGCGGGGAGTTTGAACCAGGCGCTTCAATTCGTGATGCAAATGTCCGAAAGGCCTAATTCCGACGTTTGGGCGGCTTTGCTGAGTTCTTGCAGACTCCATGGCGATGTGGAGCTCGCGAAAATAGCAGCGAACGAGCTTTTCAAAGTGAGTGGAGAGAGTAGGCCTGGAGCGTATGTTGCTTTGTCGAACGCGTTAGCTGATGCTGGGAAATGGGATAGTGTGAGCCAATTGAGGGAGTTGATGAAAGCGAGAGGAATATCGAAAGGAACGGGGTTCACTTGGATTGGAACCGATGCTGGTTTAGAAGCTTTTCATGCTGGCCAGTCACTGTGATTTATCATGGCAGTATTATTTGTCAGGTAAAAGATTTTGTTATGTTCTCTCCGGCAAGAACTCTCCTGTATTTGTAACTTAAGATTTGCTAAATTTTTTATATATTTTTTTAATTGTTCTATAAACCAAAAAATGGCTATTATAATTTCTATGGGTGTGAAGGTTTTTTTAAAAGAAACTGCCTCTGGTGCAAAAACCCATCATCGACGAAGTATCAGTTAATCAACTTGAAAAAAAAATTCCGGTGCAAAACCCACGACCAATGAAGGATCAGTTTCTTGCTCGTAAAAATCTTGGGGAGGATCAAGCCCGCATTTGTTATTCTACATCCAACAACCAAACACTCACGCACTTCATTGCCACACGGGATTCTATGACAGCTGGCGATGTTGCGCCTATTTTGCATCAGCTTTTTGTTACCGTTAGTCCAAAACTCTGTTATGCTGTAAAAAAGCACGTAACACAACTAAAGAGGTGCGTTTGGATCTCTGATTCATGGTGTTTTGTTTTTCTCTCTTTCTTGTTATATGTTATTTTACAATAGAATGTGGAAATGTTACCCATAGATTTATCGCGTATTTTTATTTCTTTTGTGGTTTGTTTTGCAATATTGACTTACATGCCAACATAGCACATGCGATTTAAACAATTTCTAAAGATTCTGATTTTTCCTGAAAAATATTTATAACATCAATATTGTATATATCTATTTAATGGTTATTAAATGTTGTTTATATAAATAAATATACATTAATTTTTTTAAATTTGCCTGTTTTATGTTGGCATAAGGTTTAAGATTGTTCATTTTCCAAAAATGTTTTATCTACTAGAAATGCACTAATGACCTTTACTTTACAATATGTACAGCTTTGCTAGTGAGGATGCCTCCGGAAATAACAATTCGACGGATATGGACGATTTAGATGAAATGCTTGAATTCAGAGATATCCCCGACACATTTGTTGGTATCGAACCGGAAAAATATCCTCTGATTATCACATTTCATAAGTTTCTAATGATGCTCGATGGCACTTTGGGTAATTCTTACTTTGAAAGATTTCGTGATGTAAGAGGCTCCTCACAGTACGAAGGAGGAAGATCAATTGCACTGCAAACTTTTATTAGGACAAACGAGGTTACATATGACCGTTTTCGGTCATTTTACTGGCCCCACTTCAATGCTAAGTATACAAAAATTCTTGATCCCTCAAGAGTTAAAAATCATAAATTCAATATCTAACTTAGCCTTGATAAAATATTGAAAATACGAGAGGACAAATTTATAAACCAAATTAGAGGAGCCGATTGATTTTTTTTATTTAATTTACTGGTGCAGGAAGGATATACATGGAAAAATGTGGTACGTCTGAGCTTCGAAAAGCAGGGGAGTGCTTCTCATTAGCTGGAAATTACAAACTTGCCACTGAAGTTTATAACAAGGGGAATTTTTTCGACGAGTGCTTATCAGCTTGCACCAAAGGCAATCATTTTGACCTCGGTCTGCAGTACATTGAGCAATGGAAACAACAAGCATCGTCCGATACCGGAATTATGACAAGATTTAAGGAGATCGACAATATTGCACAACAGTTTCTCGAAAAATGTGCTTTGGAATGTCATAAGAAAAAGGACAGTATGTCAATGATGAAGTTTGTTCGTGCTTTCAGTACGGAGGAATCGAAACGCAACTTCTTGAAGTCAAGGGACTGCCTTGAAGAGCTTCTAATATTGGAGGAAGATTCCGGAAATTTTATCGAGGCTGTAGAGATTGCACAAGAATTAGGGCTTGTTTTACGTGAGATTGATTTGCTTGAAAAGGCTATGGACTTTCGGAATGCTTCTTTGCTCGTAATTTCGTATGTACTGAATAACTCTCTTTGGGTGTATGGAAGTCGAGGTTGGCCTCTAAAATCATTTCCTCAAGAGGAAGAGCTTTTAACAAAAGCGATTTCGGATGCGAATATGGTTTCGGAAAATTTTCATGCGTCAATTTGCGCCGAGGCCAAATTTTTGTCTATGAGTGATAGGATGAACTTGTCCGAGTTGATGCAGTGTTATAGTGATTCGAAGCAATACAAATCTCGTATGGTCGAAGTTCTATCCGTCAGAAAATTCCTCGATGCCCATTTTCAAGTGCATCCGACAATTTACGAATCGGATCCGACAAAATTCCTCGTCGATCAAAGTTTATTCGAAGAACGAATGTCGCAGAACAAAGTCTCTGGTGGAACACTTGTTATCGCTTGGAACCTATGGAAGGTGCAAAGCTTGGAGATCTTCGAATTTCTCGACTCTGTCGAAAGGGCTGACCTCAACGAATGTGAAGACACTGCTCGATTCTGTTTTAACTACTTTGGAGTGAGGTCGCCGAATAACTCGAGTGACACCTGTATATTGCTCAACCCTAATTCTGCATGGATTAGAAATTCCGATAAGAGGTTCGTTGTGCCGAAAAGAAAGTTGTCAACTCTTGATGTTTGTCATTTTGCTTCAGCTGCTCGAGAATATTGGTGTCAAGATATAGTTTCGACTGGACTACAAGTTTTGGATGCTCTTCAATCTCTTCTGACGAAGCCCTCGTTGTCTATGTACTGCCAAAGTGTGTGCCTCGTTCACATCTTCGATATAACAAGGTTCGTCGAGTCGAAATCACCCACCACAAAGAAACTGCAGAACTTTCTTTCGCTATGCGTCGAGTCCAAATACTTCAGTTCTGTTTTTCCTTTGGACCCTCGACACTCTTTATCTGAGGATATGATATCTTTAAGGGAAACCGAACTTTCCAATAATTTACTCGAAGAAATTATCTTGAGAAAGGCTAGTAGCTCAAGGAATAATAATGAACTCACTTATAGGCAGATAGGAGAGGCGGCAATGACAATGCTCGGGTCTGGATTATTGCAGAGAAACAGAATTCATGAGAAAATTATCGCGAGGCTGTCTGAAAACTCTTCATGGAAGTCATTCATCGAGAATCTGATCAGTGTGCAAGAATCTTCGAAAGAAGCTCTTAGTCGCGAGTTTCATAATGCACTTGTAGAAACTTACAACATAAACTGGAGGGCGAGTGATTTTGGTTCCTCACTCTCGAGGGTTTTTTTTCACTTCAAAATCGTCGTTCGTGGAGTATTTAATGTGCCTTAAACCGGATGCGAATCCGAGTTCCGGTCTAGTAACGGACAAGAAATCGTACGCTGCTGACACGTTTAACTTTGTGGTGAATGTGGTCAGAGAATGTCTTTATAAAAGTCAGGGTACAGCAGAGTGGATCGCTCGTTCGAATATCAACGGCAGCTACTATTTTCTCGTGCTTATGCTGAGGCTGTTCATGATTCTGTGTTTGTCGTGTCTGAATTCGGAGTTGTCGTTCAACGTACTTTTCGACGTGCTTAAAGTAGCTCATATCAGAAACCAGCTGCCGTGGAAATTTTGTGAAGCGATTAGGTGTAGACGGATGAATAATGTGTCGGACGAATCTGCAGTTGCTGGAGCATTCAATATTATCGGGGATCCACTTGTTATTATAGGCTCGAACGAGAATAGTCGTCGTCTCGAGTTTTTATGCCCTAATGCAGTTTTTCTTGATTTGAAGTCCTTCTCGTGTAGAAATGAGGTCATCGAAAAACTATTTCCTAAGAGCAGTGATAAAGAAGCTACCGTCGAAAGAAATGTTGTTGGTGAACAAGTTATTACTACTACGCAATCTTCGAAAACGACATTGGAAACCGATTCACGGTTAACCAGCTCAGAGAAAGGAAAAGGGGATATTCAACTAAACTTAAACTGGGGTATTGTTCGAGAATTGTTTGACGCGTTGGAGTCGCTACGGAATAGAAATGATGGAGATTCGAAGAGCCTTGTCTTGAGAAAGAAGGTAAATAGGGGAAAAATATTATTATTTTATTTTAAATTTTATTGTTTTTGTATCTGGCTAATATATATGAATCATTTATATGATATATCTTGTCTGCTTGTTTGTTTTTAGGAGGAAATGGAGAACCATATTAACTTATTAACTGCTGAAATGGCAAAGGTAAGTGATAAAAATGTGGCGGACGAAGTCACTGCAACGATTGAGGAACTGACCGAGCTTTGTTCTTTGTTAGATACGAGGTTAGTTGTAAGAAAACCATTTCGGAAATAACTAATGTTAATATGTGTTCAAGTTACTTTGAAGACTACTTTTTTTTTTCTTTTCTTTTCTTCTTGCCCTTTGTAATTAAGTCATTGCCATGATTATCAGTGACTTCGATACTAAAGCAATGCCGAAGATTGAAGAAATTATGAAGAGATTGGAAGAAAGGAGGCCTCAATTAATGTCGAGTTCGAATAATGAACCACCAAATGTAAGTACTATTGAATCTCAAGTGGTGGATGATCACAAGATGATTCCTTCGAGTTCTGTTGTTTCTGATGATGACGAGAATGACGATGGAAAAAATAATAGCAAAAATGGAAAAGGAAACGGTAAGAAGAAACCGCAGTCGAAAAAAGGGAAAGGGAAACGGAAAGGAGGTAAAAGAAAGTAAAAAGGATCACGAGATAACTTTCTTGGATTTGAAACAAACATTATTGCAAGATAATATTTTTGTTCCCTTTTTTTTATGTTACTTTTTGTTTTAAGTCCAGGTGGTCGATTGCTCGAATCGAGTATTTATCATTTACTAACATTTTACGTATAAAATGCGTGTGTGCGTGTAAGTACATGATTGTATGACCTGTCACATGTTATGATTGTATGGCGGAACATATGAATTGGATTTTGTATGAACGAAAAAAGGAATACACTGCAAAACCCGACGTTTTTGTAATGTCGAATTGCTAAAAGAAGTTCCATGAAATCATTTAATGGAACTTTCATGCTTAGACAACATTATCAACTCGTACTTGTTAAGGATTGGAGGAGTTGGGGTACATGGTTTTATCATGCTTAGATATATTTATCAGGGGTGAATGTATTTTTGTTGTGAATAATGTGAATAATGTTCAAGTATGAAATATTGTCATGAATTTGGCCGTATGATATATGTTTTTTGGCATGATATATAAACTGATATCTCAACAAAATTTCATCCAAAGGGACTGACTGATATTAGACAAAGTTGAGTTGTGTAAAGATTCCGATCCATTGATTATAATGAATTGAGTATTCAAACCATTTCTCACACATAATACAATTGGAGCTTATTGCATTTACTATTACTGTGAAAATAAAAAAATTAGCAAATATCCCACGTGCTTACTGTTCCACTGCTTGCTGTTTTTTTTTTTTTTTTTCTTTCAACATGTTCAATGGAGATTTCAAAAAACAAATGGGTAAGGCTTCACATCATAAACAAATCATTTGTTTCGATTTTCTCCACCTTCAAATCCAGGGTACAAAATACACACGCAGGCGCAAAATCTGCGCTTTTTACACACACGATAAGGCTGCCGGGAATAGAGCTCAAATTCAGGCTAATAAGTAGAAATAATATTCAGATGATTGTACCTATATATTATATCAAAGTAATGAAAATATGGTGCCAAACACAGTAGGCGATTAATTAATTTAAAAGACTTTGATGTTGATAATAACGTAAATAATACATAAAATAGCACGACTATGAATTAGCAGGCAACATAAATCTGAAATTACCTAATACCAATTAATTGTTTTTCCACATTAATCTATATTTTCGATCCGACGTGATGCGACGGCTTTACAGAGCGGACAAGAATTCTTGGTACGCAACCATCGTTTGATGCAACACATATGATATTCATGTCCGCAGCCGAGAATCCCAATCACCATCGTTGTCGTCGTCTCCTCGTTTTCTTTTTCACAAGACGTGATCATATCATCCAAGCAAATCGCACAAATTTCACTCTCCTCATCCTCTCCTTTACGACACGAATTCCTCGTTTTCAGACAGTTTTCGATATCTTCTTCGGACAAACCAGTGCCGTTAACGTTTTGAGTCGGACTCATCCTATGATCTTCTGTTACAGCTTGTTCGGTATCACCAGCCCCAATAACCCAAATTACAGAGTCATCTATTGCATTATCATATATCATCCTATGATCTAGGACATGATAATATACGGTGCCGTTGTTAATTTGCCTGAAACGAGGAGGCTCATCAGACATTAATTCTTCCATCGATCTTTCACTAGGGCCGGGTGAGAGAGAGAAGAGATGGAATTTAGCGCATATATATATATATATATATATATATATATATATATATATATATATATATATATATATATATATATGTGTGTGTCTATATTATATTATAAATATTGGTGTCTATATTATATTATACCTTGTATATATAAATAGTTTAAGCAATTAATGTGTAATTAGAGTTCGAGTATCGCTCTAATTCCTTATTTTTCGTAATACTTGCCATATTATGGGAGTAAATTGCAAAAAATACCTCTGTGTAATATAAAAATAGCGAAAACCCTTGTGAATTTTTTAAATAGCACATAGGACCCATTGTGATTTTAGTCATGGGTAAATGGCAAATAGGCCCATTGATAAGAACACTTAATTCAAAAAGAGTTATTCAATTTTTTTGTCTTTCAAATATTTATTTGCAAATAAGGAAAACCCATTTATATATACCAAAATTACCCCCCAATTCATTGAAACCCAATTCAACTCCAATTTCATGATTTACACCACAATTTAGTCAAATTTCACCAATTAACCAATTTTGACCCTTATTTCAAATTTGATCCGCCACTACCGGAGAACGCCGGTCAGCCGCCGTTGACCGCCGGTCTCTGGGGTCGATTTTTTTTTTTTCTGATTTTTTTTCCGGTAGGTCAACCGCCATTGACCGCCGGGTCTCCGATGTTGAATTTTTTTAATCAATATTACTGTTTGGCTGCAAAAGTACTGTATCTAACAGTTATTTAACTGTTGGAGACAGTAATTTAACTGTTAATTAAATTTTTTTTTCTTAAAAAAATATTTTAATTAATATTACTATCTTGGCTGCTAATATTTTAATTAATATTTTAATCAATATCGCCAAACACTAGGAGAATCCGCGTATCGAACACCGGACTCGCCTGGACTCGTCAGGACACGGCTCGGACACCGTGTCGGGCCGTATCTGAATTTCCATAAAGTGTCGAGTCTGAGTATCGGGCCGTTTTGTAATTTTATAAAGTAGGGGGACGCGACAGTGTCCAATTTGGACACTGCTTGAGATGTAATTTCAACGTTTCTTTTATTTGAAAGTGCGTTTCTTTAGTTTTCTTCTTCTTCTTTTTTTTTTCTTTTTTCTTTTTTAAATTAAAATAGACAGCAAATTTTGTCAGAAGACAAATAACACAGAGCAAAACTCGATTCTTCTTCTCTTCCATGCAAAAAATTATATATATATAAATATTTGTAAATATATAAATATATTATTTATAATTTATAAAACCCCTATATTTTTAATTTTTACGCGTATCCACCCCAGTGTCCGTATCCTACTTTTTTAGAAATGCCGTATCGCGGTGTCCGTATCCGCGTATCGCAGTGTCCGCGTATCCGTATCCGTGCTACATAGATATCATCTTCATCTACTCTACATCCATGGCTCTCAAGAATCCTACTCAAACAGTGCTGTACGTACATTGCTGGAATAGTTTCTTTTTTCTTTTAGATAAAATTTATCAAAACAAAATACTTAACCAAAAAAAAAAAAAAATTGAAGACAAAATCACAAAAAAGAAAATAAATAAAAAAAGAAAAAGGAGGGAGGGAGAGAGAGAGAGAGAGTGCGCGCTTCATCTTCCCCACACCACCCATCCCATCTCCTGTTCTCCCTACCGCCATCCACCGCCGCACACGTGGGAGAGCCACCGTTTACGAGTAACCGAAATCGTCTTCTACGATGGGCGTCGTGAGGGAGGCTGTTATGGCGGCGGCCGTGGTGGAGGCGGTTACGGTGGTGACCGTGGCTACTCTTCCCGCGGCCGTGGTGAAAGAAACTTCAAATTTAGTTGCATTTTTTTTAGTAATTTCGTGATCAAGTTTTCACATTCCGTTTTTGGTTTGGTTTTCATGGCTACTCTATAAATCAAGATTACACAAAGATGGTTTTTGCAAAAATCCCCAAATTAAACTATATATGGTGCGGAAAACAATACGAAACAATTTAAAAAAAATAATTTAATATTATTACTTGTTGATCACCGTCAAATTACATAAACACATGGGATCCTAATAATACACCCACGAAAAAAACAGAATTTAAAACATGACTACGAAACTAGCAGACAACTAATAAATCTGAATTTCTCTTCACCAGTATCCTAATCAAACACTGCCAAATAAATTGTTTCTACGTTCATCAATTACAGGCTGACGTGCGCATCACGACGGCTTTACATAGTGGACAAAAATTCTTCACACGCAACCATCGTTTGATGCAGGATACATGATACTCGTGCCCGCATCCGAGGATTCCAACACCTGTCTCGTCTTTCTGGTGACACATACCATCCAAGCAAATCGCGCAAACTTCAGTTTCCTCCTCTTCGTCTCCTTTATTATCGAGAATATCCGGACACAAAATATTTTTCTTCAGACACCTATCAATATCTTCCTCGGACAAACCACTGCCATTATTATTAGTACGATATTCTCCAAGGTGAGTTTCCCCATACGCCGGGGTAAAAGACATAACCCGGCCAGTTCTCAGATCGAGCATTAGCAAAATTATGCGGGCAGACATGACTTCTTCGATCGATCTTTAATCACAGGTTGAGAGAGAGAAAAAATTGGAATTTATAAACAGAGATTCATGTGATGTATGGGTTATGTTATGTCGTGACTCGTGTATATATAGAGTTTAATAATGTGATAAGATTTTAATTCCCCTATTTTTGGTAATACTTACCATATAATGTGACCGTGTAGATTTGGAATATCTAATCCTATTTGGACTTCAATCATTGGTTTTTTCCATAAATAAATTATTATTATTATTATTATTATTATTATTATTATTATTATTATTATTATTATTATTATTATTATTATTATTATTATTATTATTATTATTATTATTCTAAAAAATAGGATTGAAGTCCGAATAGGATTAGATGTTCCAAGTCTACATGGATTAGAGATATAGTCTGCTTATCACATTATTAAACTCTATATATACACCACATAACATAACCCATACATCACAATTTCTGCTTATCAATCCAAAGTTTTTCTCTCTCAACCTGTGATTGTGAAATCCCGAGGATTCAGAGAGAGAATTATCAGATGGCTATGGCGAGGGTAAATTTCCATTCGGATCCGAATCCGAATCCGGGTACGGGTATGGGTGTGGATTCAATTCCGATGGTTGTTGGTTGGTACGACGTTAACGTTCCGTCAACAGCGACGAAGACGAACAAGGAAATTAAAATGGCTCATTGCGAGGAGTGCGTGAACGCGGAGAAGAACGGGTACACGGCGTCATTTCATCTCTGCGTTAACGACCCGGTTGTCAAGCCGTTTGCAACGCGGTTCGGGCCCATTAGCCCACCAACAAACCGTTCCACTGAAATTTGCTAGGTTTTGTCATTCAATACCAACAAAAAAAATAATTTAAAAAATTGGTATTTGATGCGTACAATATTCTTAAAATTTGGGAGTGGAGAAGGTTAGAGAGTGGCGGTGTCAAAATTTGAACTTTATTGAAGTTATTTTTTCTTTAGCAGTTACGACTTCTGTCCTATTTTATGATATAATTTATATAGATTATTTTTTTTAACAAAGTAGGAATTAGTAGTTTGACTTTAAAATATTAAATTTTACATTTTTATAGTATTTTTATTATGTAGAT